CAAGGGACATTTTGCTAATTAACCTTCTCTGTATCTGTCTCTTATACACATCTAGATGTGTATAAGAGACAGCACACACACACGGCCAAGACTTGCAACATTCCAGCCTCATATGTTTCCGATCCCTGGGGACTTCCAAAGTCTACCCACCCAACACATCAACAGGGGACCCATCCCCTCAGTTGTTGCCAGGGGGAATGTACCTACCAGGCATGCTTGGCAAGAAACTTTTGGAGGGGGAGGGCACGAAAGAAAAAAGAAACAAGGAACAAAAAAGAAAAGAGAAAAAAGAAAAAGAAAACAAGTCACAAGCTTATGGGCATAGCTCCTTAGCATTCCATCAAACAAAGCTTATTCCCTCGAGAGCCAGCAATCACATGCAGCAATTTTCTCATACACCATTCCACCACTTGTTTTTTAACAAGTCAACTCCCTCCCTACCTACCTACCCACCTCCCTCCCTCCACTCCTCCCTTCCACCATCGACCAATCATTCTGTCCAAACAATACACCAATCAATCCCCTACCTACCAATAAAACTGACCTCGTCCCTCCGCTCCTCCCTTCCACCATCGACCAATCATTCTGTCCAAACAAAACACCAATCAATTCCCTACCAACCAATAAAGCAAATGACCTTGGAATACTAACATCTCAAGTTCTCACCATTGCATGTACACTGACACACATGCTACAGACGTCGAGTATCACTTAAAGATCTGCCACGGAGGTGCACGCTTATTATCAGTTGTGTGTCAGTTCATGCTTGCATATTTATTATCCATTCATTCATGAGATTTCAAAAAGGTGCAAGCTGAGTTCTCAGTTCTAAGGGGCTGGCTGGTAGTGGACAAAGATAATTAAGATTTCAGGATGGCAGAAAAAGGTAAAGCAAGAGTCCAAGAAATGAGGTCATATCTTACATAAAACATAAGATTCATAACTGCACAAAAGGACAAGACAAGATACAATTTTCGTTCTACAATACCAACAGAATCAAGAAGGGTCAAATCCTCCTTCACCTTCATGTACTGGAGGTCCAAATCTTGGGCACCGACATGTGCATCCATCTCGAACATTTCATAGAACTTGCCCATCTGCAAACAAAATGGGGATTCGTCAACAAGTTTTCAAATTTTGATAGGCCATAGAGGCTCCCACAACTGGGCTACCAACCAGGCCGCCAGGGCCAACTTGGCTGCCCCGGCAGCCCGGCCAGGCAAGGACCAGGCATAGTCCCTGCCAAAAAAAAAGAGAAAAAAAAAACTGAAGAAAAAAGTTCAAAAAACCTTTTTCTTGTCTAGATATGTAGTATGTACCTGCAGGCAGCCAGACCCAGGTAATTCAAAAAACCTTTTTCTTGTCTAGATCATTATTATTGATATTATTGTCGATGCTAGATCATATGTCATGATTGTTTTTTATTGAGCTTCTGTTATGACAGATATTCAGAGTTCATGCCTCTTGAGAGTATCCCCAGTAAGTTGATCCCCCCAGTAAGTTGAGAGCCTCAGCCCTGATAGGCATCGTAATTGAGCAATGGATGTCAGCTAAGATGATTCTGACTAGAATTCAACCACAGAATTCTTGGGTGGGTATGCCCCAACTGGCTACTGTAGGACCCGAGCAGGCCTTCCCTACCCACAAACTAGAGTGCCACATCTGGTGGCACAGGTCACCTCCCCAGGTCTCTCTACCAGACCATTTGCCCCCGCATAGCTCGGGGTTACAGGGCCCACAGGTGTCGTTCTGGCCTCAGCCATCCTCAGATGACTGGAAATGACGGCAGCAGGTTTTGAACCCGGCACCTACTCCGTGCAGCTCAAACATGAAACGTACTGAGCTAACCGAAGGACAAACTGAAAAAAAAAAGAAACTATGTTATGCCGAACAATAAACTGAACAACTTTTGCGCCAGGGTCACACTGAAAATTCTTTAACAAATTGAAAAAAAAAGGCACATTTCTCAATTTTATTATTACTTAAAATTTTAAATGATTTAACTTTTAAATAATTTAAAATTTTAAATAATAATAAAATTGAGAAATGTGCCTTTTTTTTTAACCCGGCCAGGCAAGTGGTCCTTAACCACTCTGGTAGCCCCTAGTCCCACAACATAATTGCGGACAAGACAGCAGCATTGCTTAATGATATTCGAACTATCAATCACTGGGCAGCAAAAACTTTAACCACGATTACATTCCAATAAAATTGAATAACACAAGAAGTGGGTGGCCGGTATCGTTCCACTTCCGGTATAAGACCACAAGAACTAATAATCACTTGGGGTCAGCCAGCACTGGATATATCTCAAAGCTGACACCACAGTAACTATCAATCACTTAATAAATCTTAAAGCTGACACCCTGGGGGAAAGAAACAGAAAAGAAGAATCAGGTCCACCTGCTCGATTGCTAACACACTGGTGGCTAACCCTTCCTAAAAAAGTAATCAATTAATTAATTAACTAGGCTACCAGCCGGGCCGCCCGGGTCCCGGGTCGCCAGCCCGTGCAAGGATCACGGAAGGTCCCAGCCAAAAAAAAAAAAAAAAAAATCCAAAAAATCCGAGAAAAAACTATGTTATGCAGAAAAATAAATCGAACAACTTTTGCCTCAGGGTCACATCGAAATTCTTTACTGAATTAAGAATAAAAAATATGATATAATTTTATTTTTTTTTGGCCTGGTCGGGCAATTGACCCCGGGCCACTCTGGTAGCCTAGTTAATTAATCAATTGACTAATTAATAATTAATTAAAGTCGGGATATTGCCCAGACATCAGAGTTACAAAAATATTGATTCATCTTTGCAGCAGGAAAAGAAAAGTCTGCGCATGTGGGCAATCCATTGTAGCTATTTATTAATTTTATCACTTTTGTTGGAATACTCATATCAGCAAGTTATTAGTACTTATTACTTACAGGTTGCACCTTTGACATTACCAACCTTGAACAAAAGAACCTTGTCCATATGCTTGGATTTGAACTCCCACCATTGTTTCTGTAACCAACGCAAGAAAGACGGTACCATTCAAGTTGAGTAACATCCACAGTGAGAAAACAAAGCGGAAAACATACTACTAATGAGAGACAGCAAATAATGTGTATGTTTGGGGCCGCAGCGGCCGGGGAGGGGGGGCGGCAGAGGGGAGGCCAAGACCTCCATTCTGCCACACCAGCTTGATTGCCTGCCATCATCACCTATACTCCTGAAAACGACAGTAAGCCACGGCTGAATTCGTGCTCGATGTCAATGCTCGGGAGATAAAAGTCGGAACGAATGAGGATAATGAACTCGATTATGTAGTGGCTGAACGACATGATTCTCTAACTTCTCTCAGTTCTCTTCAACTCACCAACGGTTTCCTTGGTGCCCCTGCAACTCTCAATCCCTGTGTGTGTTGTCATGGTTGCCACACAAAAACTTCAGAAAAAAAGCATGACTGTGCCAGACGGTTTCATTGGACTTTCACTGACTCGTCAGGAGTGTGTGTGTGTGTGTGTGGAGGGGGGGGGGGGGGGGGGGAGGGGGGGGGGGGGGGGGGAAGGATTAGACTGTCACCACAACAACCCCTTTTCCAGTGGGTACGATTGAGGGGCCAGGTGGGGAGGAAAGGGGAGGGGAGGGGAGGCTAAGACCACTATTCTGCTACACCAGCTTGATTGCCTGAGAGGGGAGGCCAAAACCACCATTCTGCCACACCAGCTTGATTGGCTGCCATCATCACCTATATTCCTCAAACCAATATTTCCTTGGGCCCTCTACAACTCTCAATCCCTGTCGTTCCTGGCGTGACCATCCCAGTATATCTCTGGGCATCCGAGCTATAGCTAAGTTGAGCCAATTGATGGTCCAGATCAATCAGATATGGGCCAATTGTAGCAGTAAAAGAGAACAAGAAGAGCCCCCGTGTGTGTGTGTGTGTGGGTGTGTATGTGTGTGTGTATGTGTGTGTGTGCGTGTGAGTGTGTAAGTGTGTGTGTGTGTGTGTGTTTGTGTGGTACTGGGCTCCTGCGATTGTGCCGTGGCATGTTGCATCGTAAGGTGTGCTTATACACAGGGAAAGAGCCCGCAGCCCAGGATCCCCATAGAAAAGAATGCTTATAATGTCCAGCTTTCAAAAGCCAGGAAACAAAAAAGAAAAACATAAAACAAAAACCAAGCCAACCAGCGGCAAGGCAAGTACAACAAAGTAAACAAAATGGAAAGGCAAAGGTCACGACGCAACACGGCACTTGGAACGACAGGCCACCGCAAAGAACAAAGGGTGGAGGGCATGGAGGAGGCGGGCGGGCAGACAAACAGCACTAGGCAGAAGAACGAGGCCACAACAAGTCGAGAAGTAGCACTAGGGCGGTGAAGCAACACCACAGAACGTAGGCTGGAAGGCATGGGGAAGGCGGGTGGGCAGGCGAACATCACTAAGCAAAAACAGACCGGACAGGAAGTCAAGAAGCAGCAAGGCAACAAGACAACTAAGCAGACAAAAGAACAAGTAACAAAAAAAACACAAAGCAAAAAAAATAAAACTGTCTCATCAGGAGGCTGAACCCTGACAAGCTGTAGAATCTTCGTGTTTGAATGGTTTGGGTCATGAACCCTCTGACCCATGTTGAAGGCAGGCTGTCCCCAAGCGGAACATAGCAGCGGGCAGCAACCTTGCGGTGCACCAGGCAACGCAGTAGAGGCAACACAGCTGCACAACGCCAAAAATGACTGCAAGGAACGACACGGCAAGCGGATGACGGATGAACAGCACAGCAACCGTGTAGTGAAGCACAAGGCAACCACACTGCAAGAGACGACAGAGCAAGCAGACCAGCAGCTCGGCAACCGTGCAGCAAAGCACAAGGCAATAGCAACAAGGCAACCGACCAACAAGGCACACAAGCGGCAAACACGGAAGGGGCGACCAGCGGATGGGCAGCAAGGCAGCGGAGCAGTGAAGCGCAAGGCAACACCAATAACACCACCACACCACACAGCGAACACAGCAACTTGCAGAGAACCGCATGCGAAGCAAGGCAGCAAGGCAGCGGCAGAGCGCAGACAAGGCAGTCCACACATCCAACACGGAGCAAAGTGGCACATGATCTGCTCACATCACGATTGAACCCCGCAGACTGTTGGTTCCCACCACCCAATGAGCCAGGGAGACACTCCAACGAGTATCCGTCATCACCCACAGGCAACACAGACATCCCAAGCCGAGCGGCTTCCCTAAGAGTGCTATAGGCACGCCAGACAAGGAATGACCGAACTGTTTGGCACTACTTAAGGGTGCTCAGTTGGGCACAAAAACAAAAAACTTTAAAAAAAAGAGGAAAGACAAACGACAGGGGGAAGACAGACATACATGAAACCAATTGTGTGTGTGTATGTGTGTGTGTGTGTCAACATCATTAAACTCTCTCTCTCATTCCATCCTCATACCATCCCAAACCATTCATAACCAAAAAAAGTATAGATAAGCAATATAACAGAAGGTCCAAGGTTCCCCGCGTTTGTGTGGTTGGGCCGGAAGTGCCCGCACACCCGTCTGCCGCCAAAGCGGCACACTTGCACAAATACATAACACAGAAGGCTCCACCAGCAAGAAATCACCCACCAGAGGCAGCATAGTCCAAAAAAACTTGGAGAGCCCTCCAAGTCAGCCCACAAGCACAGCAGCACTGGCACTCCTATTCCTCCCAAACAACCCATGTGTTTGTGTGTGTGTTGGGGGGGAGGGGGCAGGCGGGGGGGGGAGAAGGAGAAAAGATGTCCCACCTGTCCTGCTGGCAAGCCTTTAAGGAAATCTCCTGGCAGAAACAGTGTCCGGGGATCAAATTGAGGATGATCGGGGCATCTGCGATTTGCATCCTTCCGATTCCTGGTTTACAGAAGTCAAAAAAAAAAAAAAAAAAACATAATGAATAATGTTAATAAATAAAAAATGTAATGACCCGCACAAACACAGACTGAGAACATTGCTGATGGAATGTACACCTTGCCGAGATTCCCACATTCTGCTGTGATTTCTAAGTCTGTGTGTGTGCGTGCCTGCTGGTCTGCGTGCCTGTCTGAGTGCTTGTTGGCCTGTGTGTGTGTGTGACCCGCAAGGGTACTTGTCGGTTTGGAGGCCCCGCTGGGCCAGTACTTACCCGTGGCCATGACTTTGAGGGTTGCAGCGGGAAAAACACTCAAGTAGCGGGCTGCTGGAATGTATGCCTTGCTGAGATTCCTAAGTCTGTGTGTGTGCGTGCCTGTCTGAGTGCTTGTCGGCCTGAGTGTGTTTGTGACCCTCAAGGGTACTTGTTGGTTTGGAGGCCCCACAGGGCCGGTACTTCCCGTGGCCGTGACTTTGAGGGCTGCAGCAGGAAAAACACTCCAAGTAGCAGGGGTAGGCCCGCGACACTTAGAGCAGAGGTAAAAACACTCAAGTAGCAGGTAGGCCAGTACCACTCAAATAGTGGTAGAAGTGTCGGGTACTCGAGGCCGAGCAGAAGAAGGCAAAAAGTTGGCATTTTTAGAGGCCCAGTAGCGGCAGGCTAGAGGTAGGCCGGCACCAGTCCAAGTAGCCTCAGTCTAGGGCCTGTATGGACGATATCAGAGCCGGCAATGATGTTTCCCTCCGAAAGGGAGGAGGTACCGGTTTCTGGGAGGCCGCACGGCCTAGGAAGTCACCGCCCAAGAGGCAAGTAGGCCGCTATATCTTCGGGAGGACCAAGTAGCTCCTCCTCATTTACGGTGTGCAAGGATTGGCGACATACTGCTGCAGCCAAGCGCTGGACTTGGCGCGCTGCCTGGAGGAAGGAGAGCAGCTGGGCGCTCAGCCTGGCTATGGCGAGCAGCCCAGCCTGAGGAGGACGAAGAAGGGGCCAAAGGAGGAGAGTGGCGAGGTACCTACCTGGCTATGGTGGATACCATCTTCATCACCTTGATGGGCGCTGCATCTGGAAGGCCCCAGTTGGGGTAGTGCCGCACCAAGGAAGCTCGAGGCAGAGTCAGGCATGGCGGCCTGATGAGCAGCGACATAGCTTCTTTGTGTTGTCCTTTGCACAAGAGGGCAGAGCCCTTACTAGTCCGCCATAGCCTTGGCATGTGAGAGGAGGAAGACGGGGGAAGCCATGGCTATGGTGGACCTGTTGTTGTGCTAGTAGTAGGAGGGGACTTCAGATATCGATTCTGGTTCATCCACTCATTGTTAATATTATTATTTGGAAGAAGAATAAGATTGAAAAAGTCAAGGAGGAGGAGGAAGGTGGAGAGAGAAGGCGGATTTGTCATTGGTCTTGCTGGCGTACATCTTCTTCTTCTTCTTCGTCGTCGTCTTCTTCTTCTTCTTTCTCTCTTCTTTGGTCTCTATCTCTTTGCAAGTGCTTTCATTTCTTTCGCAATTGGGTGGCATTGTCTTTCCTTGTGAATTTGCACTTTGGGAATGACCAGGATCGTAACAAAAATAAAACGCCTCTCACATCCACAAACATGGGCAACCACACATACAAGCACACACAAAGCATGTGGGTGCCAACATAAAACCTGATACCATGCATAATCCAGCAGCAGCTCTGAGAGTCGGTGGCATTTTCTTTTAACACTTTAATCCTAACAGGTCCTAACCTGAGCCTTCAAGCTGCCACAAGTATGTTATTCGGGGACCGGCTATACTAATTCACAGGCCTATACCGGCCTGACTACCGGCCCAGTTCCCTGGTTAAAAATTAAAAAAAAAAAAAAAAAATCCACCTTTCGCATTCACGGTCATGGGCCCACCGGCCCAGTTCCCTGGTTAAAAGAAAACAAAACAAAAAAAAACACCTTTCGCATTCACTGTCATGGGCGCCAACACAAACAAATACACACAAGCATGTGGGCAGCCCCATAAAAGCCGCATGATCCAGCAGCAACACCAGGCAGCTACCATAACAAACCAGACATAATGAGCAAGACACCCACACCACAAACACTAAGAACTCTCTCTCTCTCTCTCTCTCTCTCTCTCTCTCTCTCTCTCTCTCTCTCTCTCTCTCTCTCTCTCTCTCTCTCTCTCTCTCTCTCTCTCT